GGAAGCTTTGATGGCATGAACGTGAACGAGCAGACCACTTCATTACGTTATTTCTAATTCAATGCTGATGGGCCGTGAGTTTTTGTTGTACTGATCGATTTTACCTCAATCCGTTAAAATTAGCTTGAGAAAAGCAAGGACCAGTGAAGTCCACCTCAAACCCCCGAAACTGATCAGTCACGATAGTTCGGAACGCAGAAAGGGTTGGGAGTTGTGGGAGACACGGCGTAAAATTTAACCATGAACCCCCATTATGAAAAAAACTTAAAAAACCTCAAGGTGACGCAAGGTTGACATCTCCACAGTTCTTCAATAAACACTTTGATCGATATATGTGCATAATGTTTCGCCTTGACGACATGAACCGAAAAGAGTACCGCATCAATTTCAGGCAGAGTTACTTGTAAAAAAAATGCTACCTACATCTTGTGAGTATAATTTTAATAGTGATACTTTGTACGTGTTCATACAGACGCTTGTGCATGTAAATAATAGGGTATTTGAGGGTATTGTCTACTATTCTCTCCAAATAAACAGAATATATTGAACTTTATCTATTCTGTCGAAATGCAGAATAGAACAATTAAAGCTAAAAATAGACTTCTTCTCACTGATGGACGTCAAACACGTCTCATGTGTTCTGAATAGGGATTTCGTGGTCCAGGATTACAAACGAAGAGACTGAGAGAGATTGCCTCCCATTGCTACACGCGAGCGCTCGACAACTGAAAGATGACAGCCTCCTAGAAAATACAGTGGTGCTAACATCCTCCTCAGCCTTGATGTCACTCAGAGGAACTATCTCAGATTCCTCGTCCACTAAGCTAGAAGCGACATGTCTTATTTCTAAGTTCATCCAAAGTTAACGAGTGTCCGATGGATTTGACGAAAACCCGTTTTAGGCTCGAGCGTTAACGACCAATACTCATCAGCCATTACCAAAGAGTTAAGGTTTACAGGCACCCGCAATGCAATTATACTAGTTCGTTTTCCGGTGGAAATCGCTGTCGAGAACCAGAGATCATATAACATAAAATTGACCGTGTTCTATTTGCGAATTGTCCCTGCTCGTAGGTCATTTGTGTAGCTCGACGTCCTATGATGCCTAAACAGACTGTAGGTACGGAGATATCTCGACAGTTGCATTGCTGATTCCGAAAATGTCCACCGTAGTGGTGCTGCGGCGACGATAAATTACACGAAGATTATTTCTAAGTGACAGTAGACGCGCCTTCCATCTACCGCACCCTTTCCCCCCTTAACCCACCCTTGGTCGGATCAAGTCAAGAAGTCAAGTCAAGAGTCAAGAAGACCGGAGGTGCGATCGGACTCGGTCGTGACTACCCTTGGAGTTGAGTATGCATGGCTGATTACGGATTTAGAGTGGCTGCTAGCGGGGAGCGAAAGCGAGCCCCATTTTATAACAGGACGAAAAAGTTCCGAAAACCTATCGGTGCACGCCCGTCTACCATTGCGTATAGTTCCGATCGAAACTGGCAACGCAACGAGTCCGTGATGTAGTGTTTAGAGCCTTTAACTTCTTACTATAAAGGTCGTGGGTTCGAGACTCGGGGGTTGTCACCCATGGGGTTAGGTACAACTGGCTGACGACGGCTAACAGGCCAGAAATGGCCATTCCAGGTTCCCTCCTCTTTGTCGGTAATGTATTTCTGCATCTAAGATAATACATATATAACCAAACAATATATAGGTCGCCTTCGGACGTTTCTACCCCCTCCCCAAGTCATGAGTCATACTCATCCCAGTCATTGATGTCGACAACTGGGGGCTGCAGGCAACCTAGCCGTGCACAAACGAAAATGCAGACTTCATGGTTTCTGCAACTTTTGAACGTCGATTTCAATGGCCGACACTCTTGTACATCAGCTACGTCTACCTAGGAGCGGATTTTATTGTTAGGCGATGTCGGCTGACGACACCTTTTCGGCCTCTTGTCATCATAACCAACTGTGTAGAAACTAGTAGTGCCTCAATGCAAGAAAAAAGAGCGTTGTTTTTCAGGGACCTTAAAGTCTGGTCAGGCTACCAACTGCACTGCATTCTCGATCACTAGCTGTGGTTCTGTGAGCAAAGCGCCCGAGGCAGTCAAAAAGGTGTTTGCAGTGCGAGCAGATCAAATCGAGCCTGTCTGAAAGCACTTTCTTCTACTGAATTTAGTCTAAATGACGTTTCGTAATTTTCCATCTTTCGATCGAGTGGGAGGTACCGAGACCTGATGACTAATTTCCCGCGGTAGGATTACCTCTTGGAGCCGCCTGGGGGGAGCGCTAAGCGCACCCCTCGGTCTTACGGGCTCCGGATTTTAGGGGAGAGGGCGGGCGGAGCATGTCAGGGAACAAATTTGATCGCAATAATCCTGTAAACTAAGAAAGTTACGAGGTTAAGTTGGATCGCGTACTAAAACCTCGGGCAGGGACACTGAAGTACGCAGTAATATCATCGCTAGTTCCTCCCATCGGACCAACGGCAAGCGCGTATATGTCGGGGAGTGTGCGCTAACCTCAGGTGAGGTTACGGAGTTACATTGGCTAGTGGCACCACTAACCACGACTTGACTATAGGCTGAAGAGTGAAGAAAGGTGAAGATTTTGGAAATTGACCCTACTTAACATTTTTAAGTAGGCGATTATTCCCGAGTTTACTTTGAGAAGGCATTTTTGCTTAGTATACTGACTCAATCGGTTATTGCACGCGGCGACCTTCCGAGGACCCCTCTGCAATTTTATGCCATCATCCAATCCCTGTTGGATCGATGGCTGGCGTAAAGAAAACTGGAAGTTCGTGGGTAATTCAATCTACTTAAAATTTATAAGTAGGCGTTTATAATACATAGGGCCGTTTCGAAGACCCCACGAGGAATCCTTACCTTACCCTCTCCCTCTCAAAAGCACGTGCATACAATGAGAACGGAACTTAAGCTATTAACATGCATTTTAACCAACATCACATAGAGAAGTGGAATATGTTGCAGAAAACCGAGACCTCACCAGCAGACACCTTGTGTGAACCTGTTCACTGGGTCTGATACTCAATCACAGCAAAAGCGATGACAGAGGAAGCAGAGGTGAAGTGAGGTACATGATAAATGGAACCGGTAGACCGGAAGTAAAGTGTTAACAGGAACAGCACAAAAGTGAGGATACAAGAAAACGGATAAATCCAATGGAGTTGAGACAGGGAAGGGGTATTTTTGCAAGCTCCTCCCTCCCCTTGCCCTATCGCCTTATTTACGGGGCGCGGAGATACCGCTGGTTGTGAAGGCGGGCGGAGCATCTTCGCGTCCGAGTTTGCCCTTACCTTTACCCGTGGCAGGATCAAAGCGTTCTTTGGCTGCGCCAGTGTAATTCTTGACATCCGTCAGACGAGCGGTGGCTGGGTCAGAACTTGCCTTCTAAAAACAGATAATGAAGAAGCTGAATAAGCGCGAAGCCTTCCTGTCCGGTTTGAAAGCTGCATCAGAGGCCAATGGCCGCATGGAAATAAACTTCCTGAATGTTAATAATTAGTACTTGTTTTAAACTGATATCTACAGGTGCATAGAGAGAGACAGTACTGGGTCGGACCGGGCCAGTCGGACGACCGAACCTCACGCCTCCTGCAGGAAGCATGGCACTCGCACGCGGATTCTATCAATAAGCATATCGATCTTCCTAATGCCTATCTCACGTTGCCCGAAGAAATCGATGCCAGAGCTCAAGGTCAATCCCGGCAGAACTGAGATAAATATGAAGTGCGTTGTACACTTTTTTATTCCTTGACAATGGACTGGCGTGAGAGTTCGAAACGTCCGGCAAACAAACTACTGGTTCCCGTCTTCTATTCAATTACCTGGGCCTCGCATATGTTCGGCCATTCAGAGACAGTACGGTATTCTGACGAAACTATGACATTTACATCTGAATAGGGAAGCATAGAAGGCCTAGAAAAGCTATTTAAAAAAGCGTGGAGCATTTGCGGAATTACAAACGGAGATAGAGTGAGAACTTTAGCCAATAGTAAACGCTTTCTACTTCTGAGGTATTTTTTTTCAGCGGTAACGTTATTTAAAGTGTACCCACTTCAGGTTTTCATGAGAGTGATCTCTCTTGAGTATGCAGAAAAATCCAACTAATCTTGTGCAAAAGAAACATTATCAGATATTTTTTCGCTGTCCGCATAGGGCTTGGAGTGTTGCTCCTGAAGAACAACAGCTACCACCCTTTTTTCTGTGAAGGGCTGTTAACTGGAGTGAGAGAAGGAGAGAGAACGACAAATAAGCACTCTAACCATGACGTATATATAGAGTAGATGTTCTGTCTCATGAAATCCTAATCAACATTATGTGATGTTGTTTTTCGGAAGAAATCTAACAAATGGAGGATCACGAGATTAGCAGAATTTATTGACGTCATATAATTCCGCGAAATTATATGACATCAATAAATTCTGCTAATCTCGTGATCTTCGTCTTGTTCATTCTTTAATGTATTTTCGACTGGAAAAGAGTACTCTAGTAGAGTAGTAATATTAAGTATCATGCAGCTCACTGCCAAGGCAGCTTAGTCCTGCCAGGATGTCGGCTTTTAAACGAGCCTTACTTCAGCTGCCTGAAAAAAGGTAGAGTATATAACATTACCACTTAACTAGTACGAATTTGTCGCATTGATAGCTGATGCCACATAAATTCAAATATATTTTATAAAAAACGTGCACAAAAATAGTTTTCCTTGTACTTATTTGATAGCAACTTGCGCCTTCTTCAAAATGTATACATCAATAAAAAAATATTCTTCAGTTCTCAAGATTGTTTAATTATGTTTTTTGCAAAACCGTTCATGCATAAAGAATCATATCTATACATTCATTAGGGCTAATTTCAAAATATACTATACGGTTCCTATTCACAATAAAATATCATGATCCCTATATAAAAATAATCCTAACTGCTCATAGTGATATGTTTTTTCTTACATCCCTGCCAGCACACGTCCAAAACTGGACGGGGGTGACGACGGGGGCTGCGGGTTTATCCGGGGTTGATGTTTAAGGCATATGTATTATTCCGCAACCCGAAAATTCCAGAATGCTGTAGACGGACGTAAAAGGCAATCTAACCCATTTTTCCTATTTTTGAACTTCCATTGCGTTTTTAGGTGACATAAGATATTATTTTTACGGATAATTTCATAATATGCATACCCTCCTCGGAATTTTGACGAGGAGATCCGGGGGTAACAACGGGGATGAGGACGGGGATATACGGGTTGAAAACTCCGTCCTCGCCTCTTTTCGGATCCCCGTCGTCGCCCCCGGATCATCCCTATCTTCCTGGAATTTCGACGGGGGATCCGGGGATTTTGCTGGCCAAGATCGTTTGGAAACACAATATGCAGGCGTTACAGCAGGTCGGTCTTCAACTTATTCAGGAATTTGAAAAAAATAATTAAATGGAAAGTTACCCCCTTTAAGTACAGAGTTTGCGAGTTCGATATCAACAGACTATAAAAAAGGATGTTTTGTGCATTTTGTTTTCAATACAGATCATGTGAATGTATAGGGGCATCAAACATCCACGCGAAAAGTGCATACAGATGAAGAACTCATGTTTTACAGCGTGTACTTTTAAGAGGTGACCGGAGTAAGGCTGATTAAAAAGCCGGCATCCCAGCGTGTCTAAAATACTTTGGGATTAGGCTGACAGAGCACGTACAGTACAACATTCGTGATTTACAAGGTCCCACAAAATTATCCGAAGAGCCTGGGTCAGCGTTTGCTAGCAACAGCAATCCGGTTGAGGAAGCTGGTTTTGTGCGCGCAAAAGAAATTATTGTAAGCTCCGAGCTTGGTATGGCCAACGGTCACATAACTGCGTGTATTTTGCTTTCTCTCTCCCTTCCACCTCCCCGCCTGCTCGACTTCAATAAACCCCCTTTGACGCATAACCTGCCGCATATTATCAACCACCAAACCCCCTCCCCTATTCTCATGACTAATTTTCCTGCAATTATGAACGTACTAACCTGCATGTTTACCGTGTAAATTTTACCCTCTACCCATATTAATGTAATGGCCCGAGGAGAATTTATCGAAAGCCCCTAGGATGCTCGTCAGCTACTCTTCTGACCTTTCAGAATTTCGGCTACCATTCCATGGAGTAGCACATGTACTCTATATGAAATTCTCCCATGAGAAGCAGATCTAGTGAGGCAATAGGAATGCGTTAAAATATGTCCTCGGACAAGGCTTCTTGGCATGGCGGATGGCATGTTTACTGATAAGATGAAGCCTGAGCAGTACAGCTATACCTATCAGCACGCTATTAGAAACTAACACATGCCTCCTGTTGAATCATTGTCCCAAAATGTACACGTTAAGGGACATAGTACTACCTGTTTCCAGTAATATTATATTTCTACCTATTCCGTCAACTGCCCTGTACGTATCAACGTTTTTCGGTTGCCATGTTCTTGTAACAAATATGGATTTGAAAGTCGTTCACGTACGTTTCCCTTAATAACACTGAACGGCAACAAACTGAACGTGGGGCGTCTTGATGTGTTTTTTTTGCCGAGTACACGTGAATTTAAATAGAGAGATGTGTTAATTGTACACCGATCTGTTCGAAACTCGAGTGTGGCAACAATTTCAGCTGCAACACTGGAGTTGAGCATCTCTAGTTGACGACGGCCAATGACCCAGAAATGGCCACTCTAGAGTCCTATGCCTTGTTGGTAATGCATAACAAAGAAAGATATGCATTACTGGGACGTACAGTGGCGCCATGCAGTTGGGGACTGGCTCCGGAGAGCTTCTCCTTCAGCTCCTGAACCGCAGCATCGTGCTCAATGCCTTTGGCGTTTGCGTAGGCTTTGGCCAATCGACCCTCAAGGAATTCAACAAACCCCTTATAGTCGACGTCCCTAGAAGGAACGTAAAAGCGCGTCACCTCCATGATTAGCAAACAGGTAATGGACAAAATAGCATTTTGGCAGTGAGAAGAGCAGTGCAGACTATAAAATATGGCCCTCCCTCTGGCCTACAGGTCTCAAACGAGAAATAAGAGGTTCAGTAGCTTGCACTGAGACAGTCGAAGGACTCACATGAAGAACAGCATTAAAGGTCACCAGGGGAAGTGAAGATTAACTTAATTAATTAATTTAATTGTGTTACTTAATTCAATTAATTTAATTTAACTTAATGTAATATAATTGAATTAAGTTATATTTATTACGCATCCAATCCCTGAAGTAAATGGGTATGTCAGTGTTTGTTGTTCTTAAACTAACTTGCTCTTTTTACTTGACTTACGCTGCGCAAAAAAATTAGTTTTCAAGTTGACGAAAATTTTTTTGCTCATATATTTCCGTTTAGCTCATACAGAAGTTTTGTCGATTGCGCTGATTTCCGCTCAGATGCTAAAACATTCCTCCGAAACCAGTTCCTTGAAATATATTCCGATTGAATAGGTTAAGCGAATACGTAAAATGTACAACTATTTGAGGCGCTAGAAAGGATCATCCGGATTTTCGTCCTCACGACTCACTCGCTAGGTCACTTACTGTAAATGCAACTATTTAGTCCACAAGTATGCGTACAGTTCCGAAAAGGCCTCAGTAACATTATAATAGGCCGTAGGACAGAGGAATATAAAGTAGTCCCTGTAACACAGGTGGCCTTGCGCTAACTTTGAGGAAGATGCGAGTTTGAGTTACTTTAAGTTGACCCAATTGTGAAAAAACTCGCGGCGTTTGGCGGGATTTGAACTCGCATAGTAGAGAAGGCGTTTACGCGAAGCCAATGCTCTCCCAGTTGAGCTACAAACCCCACGCCTGCGACGTGAATTTAATCACATTTAGGTCGATTTTACCCGTCCAATTTTACCGCTAAGATGAAATCCACCATTACGGAACAGCAAGCTGACTGCTCACGCAGGATTTCTTGAGCAATCATCTAGCATCCACCAGAATGACTACTAGGCTGACTTAATTATTAGGAGGTTTGGCAAATTTGCTTAATTTAAGTTGACCCAATTGTTTGAGTTACTTCTAGGGTTAAGTCCGTGGTTAAGTCTTGCAATTGCTCTGCAATGACCCGTTCTACAGGCATATAGACGACATGGTGATGGGCCTATCACTTGGACCGTTTCTTGCAAACGCTTTGACGGGCAAGGTTGCGAAAAAGAGTCTAAGGGACACCATCAATGACCTCGGATTTTACGGTCGATAGATGGATGAAAACTTCTGTCCGACAGACCATAACACCAACGCCCTAATCCGGAAGCGCACATCCATCGCTCAAGTTTTCTGCAGAGGCTGAGGTAGGCAATAGAACTATGTTCCTTGGTCTCCTGCTACATAGGGAAAAAGCTGGATCTATACAGGGTAGGGTATTCCGAAAGAAAACTTGGACGCGATAATATGCCAACTCTCGAATTACTGTTAGTGCAAGGGTTAGTACACGGGTGTGCCCATTGCCCACACCGGTTAACTGACCGGCTCGGACGGCGTCTGGTGCCGGAGAATGGAAAATGAGAGTGGAGCAAACGGTTCAGCGTATTTCCTCTCCTCACTATAAGTCATCTGACGCGCTTGAAGCTATCACAGTGCACTAAAGGCCGCAGCTTAGAAGGTTGCAAACTTTGACCTTGGAACTTGAACCTCATAAGTGGCCCAGTGTGGGTGTTTCGTGTGGACTGGCCGATTGGTGGACTGTGAGTCAGACTGCAGTGGCTTCTTCTTAATGTGGCCTTCATGACACTCCCAGCCGGGTGTGGCGGCATGTCTAGGGACAGCCTCGGTCTTCGCGTTAGCCACCTGCGCTCACGACTGCCTCCAGTATGCTTGACTTTGTCATGAGGTCGGGCCCAGTACGATAGATGCGACGCAAGTTTGCTCTTATCATATTTTAAGATCATATTTACCGACAAACGGAGAGCACACTCACGAAGGCCTTTTATGCCTCATTGTGCGTCATCAGGTGGTGGAAGCTCAACTCCAGTGTAGCAGCGGAAATGGCCGCCACGCTCGAGTTTCGAACCTGCGTCTCTCGGGCCGGAGGCGAACGCTCTACCTCCGAGCCACGGGTCCGCCGTGGATGGGTGCATCCTGAAACAGATCGGTGTACAATAACCCATATTCTAAGATAGGCACAAGTCGACGTCCCAACGCTGCCACCTTACTGTGGGACACACGACGAAACTCGTCGGACAGGACGGTTGAACTGTCATACGGAGACAGGTAATCCTGCTGAAATTTCATACGAAACTGCTTTTATTACGGGCACTCCTGTTCCTGTGTCTTACTAAGAGACATGCTGTTCTTGGCACAGCCGATGGCTCTTGACTGTACCGTAAATAAGTGCTAACGAACGCTCACTTATTGCCTGTGAGTGGATGCACACTTCTGTCAGTGAAGTGGTGCCTCGCAGTTAGAAGGTGCATCAGTGTACATGGTGCAAGGGGAGGGTTGTTGTGAACCGGCGCTGCAAATAACCTGCGGATCTCCTGCACACGATAAATGCAGGTAGGCTGAACCAGCTTTAAAAATACATCATCCAGTCAACCAGAAATCAACCAATATCAAGTGCTTCCTCTCGTTCAATATGCCTACTCTGATTTAAATGGAGACTTCTAGGGACTCGATAGGGGGGGGGGTTGTAAATGCATTTGGCAACAAATTTGGTATAAAAATGATTTCTTCGGTCGGCACACTAACTGAAAGCTACGATAAACTACTCATAAGATCAGCGCCTAGATAATCAAGATGGTAAATGCAAAAAAGGAGAGGATGGCCACTGCGAAGTCACAATCTTTGTCAAGAATGCTTTTGGAGAAGATCCCTTCGGTTTAGAAGAAATTCTAAATTACTCACAGGGGCAGGCTGGTAACTGAATGACGACGGCGTCTGCTGCTACTACCAATACTACTAGGGCCAGTATTATTGTGCCTAAAAATTATTGATAAAATAGTGATAAAATAAAAAAATGCTATTAACACTATTTGGCCTTCTAATACTTATAATATTATTATTGGTACACTAAATACAATTGCCGGTGAAGATACAGGTTTCGAACTGTAATTTTGAACCCACTGAGTTCATATCCGCGCTACGTAATATAGATTTATTCATTTTACTCACTTATTCATTTGACAGCGTTGTTAAAAACTGGGTGGCGTCGGTGAGATTGGAACTCACTATAGCAAGGCGAAGGCTTAAGTACGGCTAAGATTCAGTATCAGTTACTTTTGAGTTCCCTATTTGTACATGCATGTTGTGGTATCAGAAAAAAATGTCTCAGTTAGTTGGCAAGGGCAAATAACATAAGCTAATGAGGTGGAACATAGTTAAAAAAAGAGCAGACCGTGAAAGAAACTCCTTCGGATTTTTTTGGAGAAAAAACTGCCACTCTTGGGGGGAAGATCCAATGGGAGGTCACCAGGATCATTACCGAAATTCGGAAGATGCGGTTCTGACCAACTGAGCTTTAAGGCCCCACAGAGAACCGTAAGTTTAATCATGCTTGGGTCACTTTATCCACCCAACTTACTGCAACGTACAGAATCCACGAATTCCGATAGAGTAAGCTGATCTTCCAAGCAGGATTCCCTAAGCGACCAATCCACAGTCCGCCAGATGACTAGCAGGCGCATTTAAACAGTAAACGTTTTGGTAGGTTTTTAATAATTCATTCAATTCAGTTAGTAAAACGTCGACGGCATCTGTGGGATTCGATTCGACGACAGCCAACGATTTAACCACCTGGACTTCAAGACCCCACCGGCAGCCCTGCGTTTAATCACAACTAGGTCAAGTTACTCATTCAATTTGTAGTCAAAGTACCGCCACAAAACCCTTTGGTGAAGATGCAGGTATCAAACAGTAGCTTTGAAGGCACGAAGTTTTTCTCTGAGCACCCTAAGATCATCCTTTACGTACACAGTATCCACTTATCAGATGAATACGTAAACCATCATTTCTTTCGTGTTACAAGTTTTTTCCACCTTTGGCAAATGTTTTGAAAATCTTAATGGAAGCCTGCGTATTTACTTCTTAGTAGTATAAAACCAGGAAGTGGATAGATCAACACATATCCCACGGTTTACTCATACAGGTGAATGTTTTTTTAGTAAGGACGGCTTTTTTGGTCGCTCAAGAAGAAAAACCATCCATAATAGATGCGGCTTTGCGGCCATTTCCAGGGAAAATAGGATAATATGAAGGTTAGGGTTAGGTTTACGTTTGAAACCATGGTCAGACTTGGGGTTAGGGTCAGGATTATATTAGGGACTAAGGTTTGGGTCTGTGATGACTGAAGTATTTAGATTTGGGATAGGACTAAGGTAAAGATTAAGGTTATTGTTTAATTTTATGTTAGGGTCAGTGTTAGCGTTAAGACACAGGGATATTTACCCTTCCTGACATTGATCACAAGGCTGTAGTGATTAGCTCCACACAAAGTGCATTTGGGAACGCTTGCTGCTTCCGGTCTCTGGAACAGCGAATCACAGGCCGCCTCACACAGGACCTCATGTGATGACCACCGCGCGGACATCACTTCAGATGCCGTCCGCTGGCTTGCGGTTGTGCGGTTGTCGTCCTACTGCCTATTCTCCCATTCCTTCT